AGTAAGAACTAAGGTTGAAGAAACAAGAATTTCCTTATTTAAATAAGAGTTGTATTTCTATGTTGTCACCCTGATTAATGTTGTTAAAAGAAATGGATCTTCCTTAGTGGCCTTTATTTTTTTACTTGTCAATCACAAGGTGTGGAAGTACGTGATTATGCTTTAATGCATCCTAAAGCTATTTTTCTAAGCAGTTTGCTGGAAAAATATTAAATGTTCAAACTTACTTACTAATTAGTTTATCAAAGTGTTCACATTTCCTATAGAAAGTGTAATAAGATTTTAGAAATTTTTGAAAATTATTAAAGTTTTAGTTTGTTTCAGGCATGGAAAGAAACTGATTTCTATAATTTTTCAGGAAAGATTTTTAAAAATGTTTTTCAGTCAAAAAAAGGAAAATACCACAAGACTTCAAAAGATATTTTACAAAATTGTATTTTACTCCTTAGATTTTCTTAAGGCTTTTTGTGTTTGGATGTCATCCAGTCACTGGATATTTATATTTTATAGTGTGATTGTAATAGAATTTGAACTGTTCTAAGAGCTGGTACAGGAGCCACTGAAGCAAGTACAAATCACCTCTCTAACTTTGGTGGACTTTGCTTCAGCGTCTGTCCAATCTATTTTACAAGGTCAAAGTTGTGCACTCTGGTTTTGGCCACAGGCAATAATGGCTGGAAGCTGGAATATTTCTTTTATTCATTGTTTGTGTTGTGGTAATATCTGAATTTTAATGGGCAACCAAGAGCCACTGTACCAGACAGTGCTGTGCAAACAAAATGTCATCACTGTTAGATTAAAACCAGAATAAAAATCAACACCTGGATGGTATGCACAGGGGTACAAAGTTTTCACTGTTTTGGGTTACTCATCTAAATTAGTGTGAGGGAAGAAGAAACATGTGAAGTGATGACACAGAATTGTTCCTAAAAGCTTGGTAATGATCCAAGTTTGTGAGCCAGCATATTACACGTGTGCACAGAGACAACAAACATGGGCATGTATAAAAAAAAGTTTTAAATTGTTTGAATTTGGCTGATATGTTAGATTTTATAGCAAAGATGCTGTTTACATAAAAGCTTGAGAAGGGATAGACTAAATGCAGCTTTATGTTAATAACTAGATTTTAAGGTTTATGGCTAAGAACTGCATTTCTTTCAACTTATGAAAATATAATAAATCTCTTTCTATGTGTGCATTAAAAGCCTAATACTTCAGGAAAATTCATTCCAATCATCAAAACTGTTGAGATTTATATATCATTAGAACAATTAATATATTTGTTATATCAAAATCACTAATAACTATTTTGAAATAGGCTTACTATAAAAATTCTAAAAATGTTATATAAAAATTAGTTATTAAACAGTATTTCTGAAGCATTTACATATGAAACTCCTGCATGGAACAAGACTACTATATATTTAGGGAAAATTTGGCAGAATTTTGTGGTGAAATCCCTTAAAAAAACCCTAGTATGATATATTAAGTAACTTTGAAAGTGACTAAATAAGTTCTATTATAAGTTGATTTTGTTGGATGTAAAATGGTAACTGACAAATTATATTTCGTGAGAACATGAATCAGCTATCAGCAATTGCCATTGCTCCATGGTTTTATATGCAGTTAAATTGGGGCACAGATAGTCTCAGCTGTGACTATCAAGACATAATGCTGCTTTCACTCTTTCTGTATAGTTGAATATCTAATATTTCAGTCATGTTAAAGAAAGTTCCTGTGCATTCTTGTGTCAGTATTAAGTCTCAGCTGTGTACCTGAGTTCAGTGCTATGTTGTTTTGACTCATATCACCACCAGTAAAGCAGCATCTGCCAGTGGAATTTAGTCAATAACCACTGATGACAGAAGGTCCAGAACAGAACCTGCCTTACTTTCCCAATGAGTATTAATTCCTGCAACACTGTCAATTCGACTGGTTCTGCACTTGGAACAGAACCAATGCATCTGCTAATGATTCATAAACAGAATCCAGCTCATTTTCAGCTATAATGGCTCTGGCTGCATAGAAAAGGAAAAAAAAATCCCCCTGTAGTCTAACACATTTGGGTTTCAATATGCACAATGAATTGATCTGATAAAAAAAAAAAGTTGTTTATAACTTGCATCAATATTACTATAATGACACATCTGACCTATGTGTTTCTTGTTAATAACATGGAGTGAAAGTTAAAGTAAAGAAGAAAACTGATTACCAGAATACTGATTTCCAGATCTTTCACCCACTTTATATAACTGTTTATCAAAATGTTTTTTTATTTTTAGCATTAGCTGTAAACGTTAGTTTATTTCCATGATGTAAAAATATGCACATTAAAAAAACTTGTAGAAAGGCGTGCATATATACATATGTTTTGTAAACATATATAGGATGCTAAAAAAGGCCCAAGACAGGCCATGCAGAGAAACAGGGCAAGAACATCAGTGTGGTAGGAAAAATTATTTATCACACAGAGCTATGGGTCTGCTTGAAGTCACAAGCTGCCAAGATGCCAGTCAGATTTGCATTTGTGCTGCTTGTGTATTTATGGCACAAATTAAACATGCCTTTAAGGAGACTTATTTCAGTTGTGTAAAGCCTTGTGTAAATGCTTGTGGAACAAGGTGTTCCAGATTGTGGTGAGCTTTTTCTTGATCTGACCCTTTTGCTTGCTTTTCTGTGGGTATGAGAAGGTGGAGGGACAAACATAGGTGGACGGATAGGTGCTGGTTCTGAAGAGAAAGGAATAATTCGTCCCTTATTCTTCATCTCTGGAAGAAGGAAGGTTCTATGCCCCGTGTTTTGGAAAAGGGAGGCCTCGTGTGGTCAGCCGTGAGAACAGCCCTGTCGGGCGGGAGGGATCCCAGCCGCAGGCACCCCCTCCTTCAGCGGAACCAGGACTGTAAACATGGACATCGGGTGGGATTTATCAGGGAATCATAGAATGGCTTAGGGACCTCAAAGGTTATCCACTTCCAAGACCCTGCCATGGGCAGGGGCACCTTCACTGGACCAGGTTGTTCAGAACCGCTTCCAATCTGGCCTTAACACTTCTTGGGATGGAGAGTTCACGGCTTCTCTGGGCAGCCTGTTCCAGTGCCTCACCACCCTCACAGTAAAGAATCTCATCCTAATATCTAATCTAAACCTATGCTCTTTTCAGTGTGAAGCCATTCCCCCTTGTGCTGTCACTACATGCTCTTGCAAGAAGTCCCTCTTAGTCTTTCCTGTAGGCTCCCTTCAGGTACTGAAGGCCACAATTTTCAAGCTGTAAGCCTTCTTTGTTCCAGGGTGAAGAATCCTAATCCTCCTAGCTTTCCTCACAGGAGAGGTGCTCCATCCCCCTGATCGTCTGGTCCTCTGGACCTGCTCCAGCTGGTCAGTGTCCTTCCTGTATTTCATAGCAATATGGGTGACTAGGTTAGGAAGAAGGATCACCTGTATATGATTGCAGCTGCTCTGTCCTTCTTTCTTTATTGTAAGATAGATACATTTCCTTGCCTTTCTAGACATTTAAACCAGGTAAGAAAATATAACTCAAACACAGTAGTTCATGTGTGATATTAAATTAATTGGCAGGACTAAGAGAAGGAGGGCAGTGGTCTATATGGTAATTGACGAAATGACGAGGCAACATTTTGATTTAAAGGAAAATGAAGGAGAAAAAAAAGCAAAGCCTAGTTCATGTAAATTAAAAAAAAACAGTTCCTAGTTCTTTCCCTTGAGTTACTGTAAAATCTGCAGAGAGGAACAGCTGTACAGCAGCCTAGGCAGGGATCTGTGAGAATATCCATATATTGGTGAGTCACAGGTTAAAGCCCTTGTGCATGAGAGGATATTCCATCACTCTTACCTTAAACATGTATCTTAAAGAGAAGTTAATCCAGCCATAATGCCATTGACTGCATTCTTGGTGTCAGTTCTAAGCACATTCTCCAACTTTTTAAAGAATAACAAATTAAATTCCCCTAAATGTGGGATTTACCATCAGTAACACTGATTGCTATCAGCTGGGATTTGTGAGAAGCCTCTCACCATGCATGACCTTCTGAAGAGATTATTTTGGTTTGTGAGCAGGGAGTAGGGAGTAGTCTCTGAAGAAGGCATGGGCCTGCCCTTGTGCCCACTCCCATGATCAGTACAGGGCTGGAAGCTGGCTTTTTGTTTCTTTTCTTTTTATTTATAAGATTTGTGCATTACCTTGACTCAGTGACTTAAATCCATTCCCTTGCTTAACATTAGTAAAAATTTCCCTTGATGTTCTTGTTATTGGGTTACGGCTCTCAATATACTAGGTTAGGTCTCTAAGATACTGATCATGACGTTCATCTGTTATATAGAAACGGCACGTGGGACTGAGTTATCAGGCATACCTGGAGTAGTCGCCTTTACTGGGAACTGAGCAGTCAGAATTAAGAGAACAATACTCTGCACTCTGTAATCTCACTGTGCTTTTTTACTTTGCTAAATTCTGCCTGCTTTTGCTGATAGTGTCTAATGGTACTATCAGCAATTGCATTTCCAAAATATCTCAAATCTAAACCTATGTAAGATACAGAGGAGGCATTTCCTGATGATGTAAGCCATTGTTCGTTATCAAATGCTTTTCAGAAAGGACCTTGTTTCACACAGGGAAAATTTAAAAAGCCCTGCAAAATGGTTAGATTTTCTAATTTTGTCTAGAAAAAAAAAATTAAGAAACTTTCTCTCTTGAGATTGAAAGAACACACCTGGAGGCAAAAGAAGTTATTCAAAAGCTTTGTTCCTTCTTGCTATGACTCATTTTGCAATAGACTGATTTTGCCTGCAGGGTCCAATTCAGGATGATTTACGGTAATTTTTTTTTTTGTTAATTTTTTTTTCCTCAGGCGCGTGTTGCCGATGTTGAAACGCTGAAATTCATACTGGAAGCAGTGGTTAAAAAAAACCAAAACCAAAAGAAAAACAAAACAAACCAAACCCAAATAAATATAAAAGGCTAAATCCTGCCATGTGACCTTCCCTACTTGCGCATCCATCTTCGTGCGCTTCCTTAGGGGATGCTGCAGACTGCTTTGCAGGCGGTTTCCCCTTCGGAAGGGCTGTCCTCCGAGCAGTGAGGGCTGTCCCCCGCATCCCCCGGGCATCCCCTTCGGGCAATTTCCGAGAGCGGATCGGCGCGGGGCGGGCACGGCCTCCGCTCCGCGCTGCCTCCTGCCCCGCCCGGCGCCGCGGGCCCAGCCGGGCCGGGCCGGGCCGAGCCGAGCCGGGCATGGCGCCGCTGGTGCTGTACCACTGGACGCAGTCCTTCTCCTCGCAGAAGGTGAGGGCTGGGCAGGGGAGCGGGGCCCTGGATCGCCGCCTCCCGCCGCGCCCGCAACCCCTGCGCGCCCGCTGTGGCACCGGGCAGGGAGGGGTGGGGGATGGAGAGATGGAGGATGGAGGATGGAGGGGGGCGGCCGTGGGTGCGCCGAGGCGGGGCCGGGAGAGCGGCCGGGCGGGGATGCTGGCCGGGTGGGGATGAGGGCCTGGCAGGGATGCTGCCCGGGCGGGGATGCTGCCCGGGTGGGGATGCTGCCCGGGTGGGGTTGCTGCCCGGGTGGGGATGAGGGCCTGGCAGGGATGCTGCCCGGGCGGGGATGCTGCCCGGGTGACCCCGGCGGTGCCGTTCCAGGTGCGGCTGGCAATAGCCGAGAAGGCGCTGAAATGCGAGGAGCGCGATGTGAACCTGCCCCTGAGCGAGCACAACGAGCCGTGGTTCATGCGCTTGAGCTCCTCTGGAGAAGTACCCGTCCTCATCCATGGGGAAAACGTCATTTGTGAGGCAACGCAGATTATTGATTACCTTGAAGCAACGTTTGTAGATGGTAATCCCACAGACAATTCAGTGTGTGGTTCTTCCCCTCACCCCGTAGGCTGCAGCAATGCTGGGGCACCTCTGTGTCACTGCAGGACTCTTCGTTCAGGGCAGAATATGTTTATAGTGTTACAAGTAAATAGGCTCTCTTAATAGCTAGCAGTTTGGGTTGAAAACATGTTCCTCTAAAATGAGCTGAAAGCTTTCCAGCACCTTCACGAGTGAACCTTTATAAGTAAAACCTACCACTGTCCTCCTTAGCCCTTCAGGCAGCAGCACCGTGCTGTACTGGTGCGACACTGCCGTGAAAAGTAACATACTGAACAGGGCTGCCTGACTGCCTTTGTCAAGCAGGTCCAGATTCTCTGCGAGATAAGAGGAAACATACTTAATTTCAGAATAATCTTCTGTAGAACAATGGAAGTAGAATGAGGAAATTTTTTTGGAGACAAAATGGAATGAAGAGGTAAAAGAGCAGGAAGAGAATTCTTGGAAGTGGGCATGTGCAGGGTTTTGAAGTTCTTTGTGCCTGCACTGTTAAAAAAACCAAAAAAACCAAACACCAACAAAAAAACCTGCCTCAATTTTTGAAGAAAATGCAGAGCTGTATTTTGTATAGGTGTGAAGATGGCAGCATTTTGCATTTCAGGGATTTAGCACTGCAATGTTTGAGGCATGAAGAAAACTTCATTGTTGAGTGAACATAATTTGTGCTTTGAACAAACATAATTTTGTCTTTTAGTCAAAAAAGGAGTTGGGGCCCAGGTAGATCAAGGATAGGGTAAAATTCATTGATGTGTAGAAATATTTCCAGCCACACTTTGTGTAGGATTCCTGTACTGTAATTTTTACACTATTGCAGGAACAGTAACATTTCAGCCGTAACAATTTTCTGGAATCTCAGCTGTCCCCAGCTGTGAGAGCGTTATAGGGTTGAATGTCATGGTCACGCATTCCTAGACGTACATAACAGAGCTGAGTGTGGTTTTCTGATTTGAAAGCCTCTTAAATACATGTTTGTGTGGGTTGCTGAATTTGCATCCATTTATAATTGGAATTATAAAACATTTTAAAATGAGCTACAAATATACATTTTTCTGGGCTGAAGTCACACCACTGAGTTATGCTGGGGTACAAGTAAAGCTTTCTTAGCTGTGGCTGTGTTGCCTGTCCCAGCTGGACATGACTAAATGAACTTTGGTCATTTAGATGATTCTTCTTTTCTTAACTTTATTTTTAACTTTGTTTTGCAGAGGAAGTACCAAGATTAATGCCAGAAGAGGGGAGCATGTATTATCCAAGGGTGCAGCACTACAGGGAGCTTTTAGACTCCTTGCCTATGGATGCCTACACACATGGCTGCATCCTGCACCCTGAGTTAACAGTGGACTCCATGATTCCAGCCTATGCTACCAGCAGAATCCGTAGTATGTACTGGTGTAGCTCTGAATGTCTCTGACTTAGTAGGTTGCTGCATTACATTTTTCTTCTTTCTTAAGTCCACCTTAAATACAAAATACTGAGCACAATTTATGAATTTTAGTTGCAGTCCTTGATGATTTGTGCATATACTTTTTATTGATTGGGTATTCTGTTGGGATTTGGAAATGGGAAAGAGGAAATGTTGTTTTTGAGGTGTCTGGAGATAATTTTTTTGTACCACGACTACTTTTTAATTTATGCCTTTATGTTTCCTTCACTGTATTACAAAAGAACTAAGTAGTTCTAGGACAAGTATCAACTCCTGACAGCATGGCTGGATGATGATTCCCTGTTTACTATTACATTCTGAGATCTCTGATTTTTTTTTTTGTCAACATTTTGGTTTATACGGTGTTGATTTTTTTTTTTTGTATGATGTTTTAGAATGCTCTGTAGAACAAAGTCAAATACTGCAGAGTCTTTGAAATTTAATACATCTATACTATTAGTAAGTCCATGATATCATGAACAGTGATATTGTGTTAGCTTGAGAAATCATATTTCCAACAAAATGTCTTATCCTCCTCCTTAAAATTTCTGGTAACACTCTATTATGTTGTTACAAGTGAAGGCAGGCAGTTAATTTTCCATATTGCATAGTTGATGTAACATAGTACATAGTAACATAGAGTCATAGGATCATGAAATCATAGAATCATAGAATGATCATTGAAGATTCAGTGATCTTTAAGGTTGGAAGGGACCTTAAAGATCGTCCAGTTTCAACATCTTCCACTAGATCAGGCAGTTCCAAGCCCCATGCACCCTGGCCTTGGACACTTCCAGGGACAGGGAGTCCACAGCTTCTCTGGGCAGTCTGTCCCAGTGCCTCACCACCCTCACAGGAAAGAATTTCATCTTCATATCTAATCTAAATCTACTTCCTTCAGTTTAAAGCCACTTCCCCTTGTCCAAAAACATTAATTATTCCCTTAATCAGTGCGTTGTCTGGTTTGGTGATTTTGATTTGTTTTTTTTGGTTTTTTTTTCCCCAAATGTGGATGCTAACTGTTTATTGAACAATTGTGCTTTACTCATAGGCATTATGGGTAATTTTTCTGTTTTCGCATGGTAAAAATCAGTGCTTTTATTACAGTTCAATTTACAATATTGTCCTCTGCTTTTCTTGCTGTATGTATTCTTCCACTCAAGCTTCTAGTTGATATAACTTGTTCTCAGTTTGCACGTTTGTACTGGCAGAGCTAACATTATTGCTTATCTAACTTTGGATGTTTTCTTATCTTTTTATGCTTAAAGCATAGCCTACATTTTTTTGATTTGAAGCATTTTTTTGAAAAGCCTGTGGATGTTTCTTAACAATTCCTTTGCATGTTCAAACTTCTCCTGGTTGGAGATGGTTTAATTTTCAGCTTGAAACACCTTTATTTTCAGACTGCTAGATATAATAAGGCATGAGCCAGTTGTGTATTATGTTCATGCATACCAAATCCAAGTAAGTAATTAACTGCATATGTAAAATTTTGGTTGTATGAGTACATCCTTCAATTTCTTCATACACTGTATTGAAGTATGGCTTTCACAGTCATGTTGAAATGAATATATAAAAAAGTGAGTTTGAATGAATATATAAAAAAGTGAGTTTGTTATTCTCTAGAAAGAGTTTTTATCAATTTAATTTATCAGACTTAATTGTAACTAAGCTTTATTATCAAGTACAAGTGAGAGGTGATTCATGCTCTATAATTATTCTTTTGTTCTCGGTTTGTGATTAGAAATACTTATTTTTAGAAGATTTATAAATCACTGTCTTTTGGTATTTTAGGTTTATGAGTGTGGCATTTTCAAGCAAAGCCCCATTTTAAGGAAAAGGCTATACATGCATAGTAGAAATCAGTAAAATTAACTTTTCACATAATTCTTTCTTTAAATCAAGTAATAATGTTTTTCTAGGACATATACACAGTTCTTGAAGAACATTTCCAAAAGGATCACAGACTCTGGCATCAGGTTTTAGCTAAATAAAAACACTTTGGCTCCATATTCAGTGGCATTTAGGCTTTTGCTGTGAAATTATGCCTATGGCCTACAGTGACCAGAAATCTCAGTGTGGGCCTAACAGCTCTGTCACAACTGATGAGCTGAAGGTGTGGTGGGTCAGTTTAAAAAGCGTTCAAGTTTTCCAAAATGTGATGTATTTAAATCCTAACCTAGTGTATTTGCTGTATTGAAGCAGCACTTCCAATTTCCTTGGTATGGTATTTGTACACAGGCTATTGGGATTGCATTATGAGTATGTTTGGAGATCTAATATTTGTCATTCCTTTTTTTGTCTGCCTTTGTGGTTTTTTTCTTCTTCTTTTTTTAAAAATATTTTTAAATTAGGCCAAATAAGTAACACAGAATCAGAATTGAAGAAACTTGCAGAAGAAAATCCAGACCTTCAAGATGCCTATATAGCAAAACAGAAGCGCCTTAAGGTAAGAAACCCCTTTGTATGGGCCCCTTTATTATGAGCTTGTTAGTGTTAGATGTTTTGGTCACAATATGAACATTTGTTTCACTTGTCATTACCAGTAATGTCATGCAGTGGTTTAACCCTTCAAGGCATGAAACAGTCTGTCCTCAGATCAGCTACACACTTCAAGTGTGTGCTGAAGTACTGGACTGGTCCCAGTGACTTCAAAGGTAAGTATACATCAGTGCTGCTGTTGGGCTGTTGAGCACCCTGCAGGGGTAGGCAAACCTTAATATCTGGTATCTCTAAACTTTTCTTCTGTTTTCTGAATTGTCACCAGTATCCTTGTAGTATCCATCTGACTATGTGGAGAAAATAATCATATTTTATGAACAAACACTGCATTATTCTAAGTATAAGCTTCTCTGATAAAATTATAAACTCTGTACAATGATTAAAACACTAACCTGTATGTCTATTTAGTCTAAACTGCTGGATCATGATAATATAAAATATCTAAAGAAAATACTGGATGAACTGGAAAAAGTTTTGGATCAGGTTGAGACTGAATTGCAGCGGCGAAATGAGGAAACACCAGGTAAGGAATTTTTCTTGCTAAATCCTATAAATATTTCTGTTTGAGGATACTGAGTAAACTTGTTGACAGCACCATTATAAAGCAATTTTTAATGTGTCAGATTTGATACTTTTAATATATATTGATCTATATGTCACAGAAGGGATCAATACTGTTTTAAATACTAGCTTACTTTACTGTTTCACTCAGTGAGTTCTTACTGTCTCATGAGAATTCTTGATCACATTTTCAGGAAAATAAGTATAATTATCTGCATAATTTTTTAGTATTTTTATCAACAAAATCAGAAAAAAATTACCTACAGAATGTTGATGGTGTAGGTATAGTCTTCAGTTCACTATAATGATCACAACCTTAATGTCTAACATAGGTTTATTATAATCTTGTGCAGATACTCTGCTGATATTGTGGTATCTGCAGAATAAGCAATCTGAATAATTGCTCTAATCATTAGTCAATCTTCTTCTCTCACCCTCTTGGAAAGCAGCCCTGTTTACCTGCTTCCACCCAAATGAAAGTCAAATTATTCACACAATCACAGAATCATCAATGTTGCAAGAGACTTTCAAGATGATCTAGTCTGACTGTCCACCCAGCACCATCATAACCACAGCTAACCATATCCTGCTGTCTGCTGCCCTGGGCAACATATTCCAGTGCCTGGCCACTCTCAGTGAAAAACATTTCTAATATCTAATCTGAACCTCTTCTGGCTCAACATTTCCTCTCTTCCTGTTAGAAATTTCCAGCCCAAATACAGAGCCCTGGGGAACCCCACTAGTGACCAGCCACCAACTGCATTTACCACCACTCCCTGGGCCTGGACATCCAGCCAGTTTTTCAGTCAATGAAGAATGTACCCACCCAAGCCAGTTAACCCAGCAGAATGCTCTGGGAGACAGGTCAAAATCTTTACAGGTATTTAGATAATATACACAGCCTTTCCCTCATCCAGTAAATGTGTCACTGGTCATGGAAGGAGGTCAGGTTGGCCAAACAAGACTTGCCTTTGTAAACTTATGCTGGCTGGGCCTGTTCCCCTGGTTGTCCTGCACATGCCATGTAGTGACACTCAGGACAATCTGCTCCATGATGCTTCCCTGTACCAAGGTCAGGATGATAGGTCTGTAATTTTCTGGGTCCTCCTTCTGACCCTTTTTGTAGATGGGTATTACATTTGCTAATTTCTGGGCAATAGAGACTTCTGTGGTTAACCAGAATTGCTCGTAAATGATTGAAATAATTGGCAAGTTTTTGGCAGCTCCCTTCTTACTCTTGGGCATATCCCATCTTGACCGATAGGCTTCTGAGTGTCTAACTGGCATGACAGGTCACTAACCATTTTCTCCTGGGTTGTAGGTGCTTCACTCAGGTCACAATCAACAACTTCCAGCTCTGGGAGCTGGAAAGCCTGAGGACCATGTGTTTTAATGTTAAAGACTGTGGCAACAAAGGCATTAAGAACTTCAGCCTTTTCCTCATCCCCACTATGTTTTCCCTTTGATCCAGCGAAGGGTTGAAAATCTTAGCCCTCCTTTTGCTGCCAGTGTATTTACTGAAACTCTTTTTGTTGTCTTTAACTGCAGTGCCAAATTAAGTTCATTTGGCTTTCTTTCTGACTTTCTCCTTCATAACCTCAGACATCCTTGTAGTTACACTTCTCCTTCCAGAGGTGAGACACAGTCCTTTTTAACCTGAGTTCCAGCCTAAGTTCCCTTTTTACCCAGGCTGGTCTTTGTCCCTGACAGCATATGGGAACAATCTGTTGCTGTACCTTTAAGAATTCCTCCTTAAATCTTGCCTGTCCTTCCTGTACTACTTCGCCTTTCAGGACTGACTCCCAAGGAACTCTGTCAATCGAACTCCTAAGCAGTCCAAAGTCTGCCAGGCAGAGATCCAAGGTGGCAGTTCTGCTGGTGCCTTTCCTTACTTCACCCAGAACTGAAAACTCCATCATTTCGTGGTTGCTGTGCCCAAGATGGCCACTGACCACCACATCACCCATGAGTCCTTCTCCAGTTGAGAGTAAATTTTCTTCCACACACTCCAGGAATCTCCTAGGCTGCCCCTCTCCACTGTGTTGCATTTTCAGCAGGCATCTGGCAGGCTGAAGTCCCCCACAAGTACAAGGGCTGGAAATTGAGAGACTTCTGCGAGCCTCCTGTAGAGTGCATCATCTGCCTCTTCATGGTGGCTAGCAGGTCTCTAACACACTCCTGCAAGGACATCTGCAATGCTGACCTTCCCCCTGATCTATACCCACAGGCATTTAACCATGTCAGCATCCTAAATTCTGTTTAAATGGGATTAGCCTTCTGCTTTTCCACAGTGTGGTTCAGCTCCTAGTGGTGCTAATAGGAGTCCTTCCCCTGACTTCACTGGAAACGCATGAAGCATCAGTCAATATTAACTGCATCTGCTCAAATCAATAACTTTTTGCATTTAGCTCTATAAATAGCTGTTGTAATAACTACTGATTACTATCACAACTGTAGGTTTGAACCAGCAGTTGAAAACCCAGATTAAATTTTCTACTGACTCAACAGTGAAAGAGTCATAGAAAATATTTTAACTCAACTCATAAAAGATGGAAGGATTTTGTTCAGCAAACGATGTCTGTCACCATTTCCAGCAACCCTTTTTCTTTCTCTGCTAAGTAGCCTTTCCAAGGAGTCAACTGGTGCAGTATTGATGAGCCTATGAAAGCTTCTGGAATCGCTGGATTTTGTGAAACATGGGACTATTGCCTCTTGGAATTTTGTCTGAGGTAGTCCCACTTTGGAGGTTTGTGATCTGTACTTCTCCAGGTTCTAGTAAAACTCAGAGTTCCTGCTTCTCTTGCAATTTCTTGAATCCCTCAACTGCTACTGCTGCCACTGCAGGTATCTTTCTTTAACACAGGATAGATTCTTTGGTCTTTTCCATCATCTTGTTTAATGCACTGGATTAATTCCCAGGTATCCTTTCAGCAACCTAGGTTACACTCCTTTTCTACAGAGGCCTTTCTTCCAGACCTGTGTAACCAGTCAAAATGGACTGGTACCAACTTTGTGCCAAGCTGTTGCTTTCCTCTGGTGGAAAATGTGTTGGAAAGGAGATTGCAAAATTTCTCTGTTTCCAGAGAGGTGCTGCTGAGTGTCTGTGCCAGCATTTTTCCATGTCTGCTGTGTGGGATGAACTGCAAAATTACAAATGAGACGGGAACAGCATAGTCCTCTCTATTCGAGATCTCAGCTAGAGCAGAGTACTTTGCTGGCAGCTATGATAGCTGTGCTGGCTATCAAGTTTCATATCCTGGGTTTCAAAAGCTCTTGGTATAGTCAGTACATGTCAGCCCTTTCAGGTGGTGGTGGTTCAGATCACTGACAGTGAAGTGTGATGCTGCCTGGCAGTGCCTGCTCTGAGCCATCCCAAGAAGATTCACCTCCTTCTTTGACTGGAGAGGGTACCTGGGGTCTCCATCTGTGCTCCTGACTAGTGATGAGCAGTGTGAATATTAGTAATTTCTCAAACATCTCAGTGTGAAACCGCCATGATTTGGGGTTAAAGAGACACAAAAGAGGGACAGGTAGACAGATTCTGTCATCTCAATGGGCTGATATGTTTGGTGCGAGTCAGTCATCTGATCCATTTCTTTTTGACTTGAAAGCCTCCAACAATCTGGCTGGAGTTAGTTCTTGAGTGAATGCCATTGAGCTGAGTGACACAGGCAAGATAAATTCTTCAGACAAGTGGTAGCTTTTCAGTAAAAGCTACACTGCCTTCCTCCTTTCCAATCCTGTTTAATTTAATCCAGATTTGAGAAATCTAGTTGAAGAAAATAAGTGTTTACTGTGGGTTTTAATTTATGAACCTGGAATGAGGATCTTTTTTTTTTTTCCTTAACAAATGTAGGTCAGGCTGCTGAGCCTAAGACTTTACAAGATTGTGCAAAGAATGGACAGGAATTAGTAAAATATTTATTGATGAAAGTAATGTTTTAGCTGAAGTGTTGTTGCTCTTTATTAGATGCTACTTTGAAGTATCACTAAACTAAATGTGCTCATATTCTATTAGTTCCTAATGCTTTATATTTTATCTCTGCTTAGAAGATGGAAATCAGCCGTGGCTCTGTGGTGATTTCTTCAGTCTGGCAGATGTATCACTTGCTGTCACATTACATCGCCTGAAGTTTCTGGGATTAGCAAGAAGAAACTGGGGAAATGGAAAGCGGCCCAACTTGGAAGCTTATTATGAGCGTGTCGTGAAGAGAAAAGCATTTTACAAAGTTTTGGGACACGTCAACAATATATTAATCTCGGCTGTCCTGCCAACAGCATTCCGCGTGGCCAAGAAGAGGGCTCCCAGGGTTCTGGGCACCACCCTGCTGGTCAGCATGCTGGCAGGGGTGGGTTACCTTGCTTTCCTCTGTCTTCGGAAGAGATTTGCCAACACGGTGCTATCGATTAGAACCAGGCAAAATTATTTTTAGACATTGTCTGTCCCTGGTGGTGAGTGGAGGGCATCTCTGCCCTCAGGAAAATATCTTCAATAAAATATAAATGTAGAAGAACGATTATGTCTGCGAATTAGAACTTTGCCACAGAGTAATCATCTCCTGCTGCTGTTTAATTGGGTTGGCAATGCTGAGGTAGTTTTCAAAAATATTTGTTGGGAGGACGACAAAAGAAAGAAGAGACATACTTTTCAGCCAAGGGACTATAACTCTGACAGTGCTTTATTAAAGTGGTTATTGTCTCCTATACTCAGTAGCTGACCTAATTAATATGCTTTTATTTAATAGATATGCAGCAATGTGACAGCTTTTCACTGTAGATGAAATGCATTATTGTGAAGAAACCAGCATTGTTAAAATACTGAAAATAGCTCTTATTTTAAATGCTCAGAGTAAGATTTAATTGGAACATTGTGCCTGTTGAGTACAGAACCAAGTTTCTCTGTACTGATTATTGTCTGCTAATTTGCAGTTGGACCTCAAGGAATGTGTTAAAAATAATCTTGTAAAGCCACTTTTGTCAGTGTATGTTCATGCAGCAATTCAGGAAAAGACCTGAAGCAGGTAAGAGCATCAGTGATTTGTCTGCCACACAAGAGAAATTCTCCAGAGTCATCACTGGACAACAAATACTACAATTTTGCTGAAATACAAATGGAAGCAAAACACCTGACACTTGTCTTTTGAAAGTCTTTTGGGCTCAGCCTCGAACTCTGGCAGAATCAAATCAAACTGTCTTGGTGCACATTTGCTGCTTTCTTTGGGGTGGCTTAATATGGTTGCCTCCATATGAGTGTCCCTCGTACTGTGTTTCACTCTGAGCACTGGCTATTTTTTGCACACTTCTTGGCAGCACTAGCAATTGTACGTGTCTGTATAAAATGCTTGCCCACAACGTGCCACAACCAACTATAAAACATAAGCAGAGCAATGCCTTTTTGTATCAGTAATTAAAAATATTTCACTATCTATCAGTCTGGTTAGGTAGCCTAGATTGAAGGTAAAGGTGTAATTTAGCAATCTGTTTAATTATGGATGGGGTCATGTTGATGCTAAGTGAAAAATACAGAAAGTTTGGAGACGATTTGTACTGCTAATTTTTTGCAAAACCGCCCTCTTGTTGCATGGAGGAAAGGTGTAGAAAAACAGTTTGATTACTTCCTATTACTCAATAGATGCTGTGAGTTTTATTCGTTTTGAACTGAGCTCCCATTTCAACAAGAAATGTACATTTACCTGAAATGTACATTGAATCCTTTTGCATCAAAAAAGCATTTGGGAAGGGATGAAAATTCTCATGACAGTTTAGTAAGACTTTTGTATGCTTGATGAATGTTTGAAAGCCTCAGAGTTTTGTTTACAAGTTGTACATAGATGCAACAAACAAAGCATAGCTTTTAGTGTTTGCCTATCAACAATCAGTGCTAACAGGCCTAAGTACATTTCAGGTCCTGTGCTGCTGGGTGTGGTCTCTGCACAATTGCATTTAGGTGTCAAGAAGATCATCTCAAGTTTGCTGGAGAGAACTGAGGTCAGTTTCTGTCTGGGCAAGCTCACCATCTAGTAGATATCAATACGGATAAAATTATTGGATACTCCTGCTTATTATTTAATATTGTGCTAGTTGTCTAGCAAAAGTAGACCTAAATCTCATTACTCCTTTTCAGTAATAAGAAACATCTTACCTAGGAAACAATGTGCTTTTTCATTTGTAAAAAAGACAGTATTATATAATTCTATTTCATGATCCAGTGGTTCTCAAGAACTTGTTGAATTGAATGTGCTCTATTTGGAAAAGATTTATTATCTCTAGAGTGGGTTTAATCCAACAATACTATTAATGTACTGGCAGCTTTAACTGAGTTTGCTGTTTGTGTGTTGCAGTTCATCTGCATTTACTTGTAGCTATCAAATTCCACTAAGTTAATAAACACAGAGTAAGACCTGTAACTTAATGCTTCCCTGGCATATATTTTTGTCAGATGACCTGTAAAATGTAATTTGATCAAGTCACAGTAAAATTAAATGTATATGACTTAGTCTTCTTTAGAGTGAAGTGGCCACCAGATGTCAGTGGTCCTCCAGGACTCTGCTCTGGCATGCCTCTGAGGCAGGAAAGCTACTTTTCACAGAGAAAAAACTTGTGATCTCAGCATAAGAGGGTTGTGAGCACCCTCAGTGCACTAGCAGTCTCTCCAGAGCTCTGGAAACAACTGTGTGGTTCTACCACAGGTTTGTTCCCAACACCTGCCACTTATGGTTGTGTGGTTTCTATACTGGGTAAATGAGAGGCCAAAGTTGAAATAATATTTCACCTGAAAATGAATTTTACTAAACAGCAATTAAACTTGCAATCTGGAAGAATGAGCTTGAATGAAACTTTTATTGTGGAAAAGTTTGGATCCCTGGTTTGATTTATTTCTGTGAGTTCAACTGTTTGGTATCCTACTTATTTTCACTGCCCTGAAGTACTCTGTGCATTGATTTCTGTACAGGTGGCAGCAAAAGGCTTATCCATGATTAAATTCCTCAAAATAGGATGAGATTTAGAAGCACCATGCTGCATTTGGCTCTTTGTGCAAGCTAGCTTTTGTGCTTGCAAAATTTCTTTTCAACTTGGCTTTTTTTCTTTCTGGTAGCTCTGGATACTATTTTGATTGGGTACTGAAGCAATCTTCTAGTTTTCATTTACTATTTGCTCTCATATCATGCATCAGATATATTTCATTTCTTTATGTGGGACCCACACAATAAACATGGATTCTTAAGGCCACATTCTAGTCTGGTTTTTATCTTCTGTGGCTATAAAACAAAGCACATTTGAGAATTACACAGTATTGCTGTAAGGACTCTCATGCTATTCAAGGAGAGAAGCCCTTGAACACTTTTTAAACCAGTTTAAAGATTGACTTGGATATATATGGAAACAGCAGTAACAATGACATTTTCTTTGGTTGTCTGTCTGAACTGTATGTATCTATGAGGTCCAACAGAAGCTATTTAATAAAGTAAAAAAAAAAAATTAAAAATATAAGGAGGGCAAGCAGGTTTTTTACTTTTTATTAATACATTAAAAAAAAAAATCCAACCCCACCTGACTTCTGGGTGTGTTCCTGATTCATTGTTGAGCTACAGCAGCTGGGACTCCTTTCTGTAAGGTGCGTGGCAAGCACATAAGCTGTGTTCACACTGACGTTGTCCTTGGTGAAACTAAATGTGTATTAGTCTGGCCATGAACTAAGCCCCCCCCCCCCTTTTTTTCTTGCACTGTAGGAGTCTGTATTGGGCCTCCTTCCTTGTTAAGCAGAGGAATAAATACCAGTACGTGAGGCTTATGTGCTTGGCCTCTCAGTATCCTGAAAGTCAGGGAAGCTGCTAGGGTAAGTAGACAGCTGGTAGGGTTTGAGTGTCAGGAGATTATGACACTGTAGTCTGTGCACCAACTTTGAAGTGGCCTTATGCTTTAGCATTAATCTGAAGAGCACAGAGCTCTTGCACAGAGCTCTTACAGTGGAAACCTTATGTCTAAACAGACAAGAGGCAAGAGTGAATACAAAGGTAAGTACAGTAAGTATAAATTCCTTGTCCAGATTCACAAAGCCATACATCCACTTTTGCATGTCACATTTTTAAAGGCATTTTTTACTTAAGTCTGAATTTTATAGGAGCAAGGTGCTGCTAAGATTTAGAGAGCAGACTGGCATGCCCTAATGCATGAGGATTAGAGTGAGCAGCAGATGGAAAGTAGGTGAAAAGTAGTTGGTCTATCTAGCTGGAGCACACTGTGCTCTGCAATATGGTGTATGACAGATTATTGTTTGCTGAGGCCTCCTTCTTATCTCTCTGTTTAGCCAATGTTAGACAGAGGTGTAAGGTTGTGCTTAGGCAATTTATAAGATGTACTGAGGAAGTCAAAAGCATGTAGAAAAATCCCAAAGAAAATATGCTGGGTTTTGTTGCCTCTTTTCTTTATAGAGAAAGTTTTAGTTTTGGTGCAGTACCAAGTCATAAAGTCAGGCACTCAAAACGCAGGAAATTCCAGAAGCCAGAGTTCTTACAATACTGTTAACTCACTCATACAATACTTCAATGGCCTTTTTATTTCTGTTTTCCTTTCTAAGTTACAATCATGGTGCTTAATTTAATGTGAAGTTAAAAATGTTGCACCATAAAATAGTTAGGCTGTGGATAAGCTTAGTGTTGTGGGAAGAATCTGTTGGAATTTGCAGAGCTGAAGGTCTAACTCTTTCTGTGCTTTACATCAGCATTAGTATTTTACTACAGTTTTAAACACTCATAAAAAATTATATAAAAGTGTATTGTGTAAACTAACACAAAATAACATATATCAGTATGAATCTACTTGATATATACTTATATATTATTATGGTATATACATATATACTATATTATTCCTATTTATCCCTTTCATATTTCATTTGCTAAAAGTGGCTAATTGAGAATTATGTATTTTGCGGTATTACTTGCCTTTACAAAATGAATTTGCATTTATAAAGGTAAAATTATGAAAAAGTCATGTAATTGTAGAATCATGCAAAATTTTGGGTTGCAAGGAACTTTAAAGAGCATCTAGTTCCAACTCCCCTGCCATGAGGAGATGTGTTCTCTTTTCCTTATTTACTCTGATAGCATTACGAGGGTATTTGAAAACATTGGTTACATGATGACTGTAGGTACTTGAGAATATACACAAACATATTTGTTACTTCATGTTAGCTGATCATCCAGATCAGAATATGAATGCCACTGCATTTGGACTGAATAGAAAGCTTTAGCTGTTGAGAAACCATTGCCATCCTGAAAATTGTTTATTTAAGGCCTGTTTCAGAAAGGTTGCCTAACTTGTTTAAGCGGATGATGCCTGTGTTTCTGTAAGCAGCAGAAAACAGAGCATTCATAGGGCCAGACCAGATGTGGGGGACCACTGCTTCTGTCACCTGCTGGCTGAGGCATTCACCTTACAGAAAGTGGAGTCCTTCTCCCTCACTCGGTATTGGAAATAGGTAAAACTTGGTGGTAGAGACAAAAATTCCTCCCTCATAGATACAGGCCCCATGCAGTAGGTTGCAGAGTCAGGCTCCCTCTTTCTCAGCACAAATCACATCTGCATTTACAGAAATCAGAGGCCATTCCTTTGACAAAAGGTAGTTTGGACATGTGGAGGCTGAGACTGTCAGATGGAGAGCAGGGCCTGCCACACAGCTTTCTCTGCCAGTTACATTTAAAAGCCAGAAGGAGTTGGCAAATGTAAAGGTCTTGGAAAGGATGTCTTTAGGTACATAACACAGGTTTGGGGAAAGGAAGGAATTGTAGGCTCTGGAGCCTAAACGAAGCCAAGGAAAAACTGTCCAGAGAAGTTCCATCAGTATGACTTGTGGTCCAAGCTCTGGGTGGCTTTTCTGCAGGTGGAGAGAGGCTTTTGGATTGCTGCTTCTGAGGACATATTGTTGTAACTCACTTCAACTATTTAACTGAAATCAATGAAAAGAAGAAGAAATATCTGTCTCTGTTGAATATATAGTGAAGCCAGCTTCCTGATACAGATATTTAAGTTGGATCACTGTTCGGACAGGTACTGTGAAAGCATATGTTTTGAACTATGTAACTCTCCTCAAACACCTTTACACAAGCCTAGACACCAAACTAGAAAAATTCAAATTAGAGGTCTGGATTGCACCCCAGAGTCAGAGGCAGTAAAAATAGAAAGACCTATTGTTTGAATTTTTACATCTTCAAACAGAAATACTTCCAGAGACAAAGATCTCACAGGAAGTCTGTGCCAGATATTCTTTGTCCAAATTTTGCGCCTTAAGAATTTGTGCACCTTTCTATTGTTCTGAATAAAACACAGAATCTACTAAAATTTACAGAGGAAACAAAATTGACTGATGTTGCAGTAATGGAGGTATCAAGATTTCAGTTTCCAACAGAGAGCCAAATTCAGAACTGGAATGAGTCATTGCTACGAAAAATGTGGTGGTGCATCTACTTACATGGGATCTGAATTTGATTTTAAAGTCATTATGGCATGAATCACATTTTACAACTTTGCCTTGACAAGTTTTGTTTTAATCAACCTATTTGTTACAGAGACAGTGAAAGCTGTATGGTATCTTTCTGAACAAAGGAAATATGCATACCTTAATATTTTAAAAGCTGTGTAAGCTTTGAATATGGGCAGTATATACTGAGTCAAAATTTTTGGAATATGGAGTTATTTTTGGAATAAAGAATTCTTTTAAAACAAGTCCAAGAATGTATGTTTAGGACTGATTCCAGAAAAGCATAATAAATTTCTTATTCTTTGGATTTGAAAGAGAACCAAAAATCTATAGCTGACTTAATTTTTCTGTTGTTAACTTCCAATTGTAACTGTGATACAAGGAAGCTCCAGCAAATAAAAAGATAACATATTTATATATATATATATATACACACTAAAAACAACTGTGCTTATTTAATTTTCTTAGGAAAAGCATATTGGATAAGAGTTCTGCCTCTTGTGTGTTATAAGAAATTAACAGTGTCTTTTTCGTGCAAACTAAGAGATGGAAATACTCCCAAAGTGGCTGGCAGAGCATCAACATTGGCAACATTGGCTGAGGCTGCAGTTCCACACCCACAGCACCCCACAGAAGTGGAAGTCCAGCAGAAGCTGAAAGAGGCTCATTGCAATCCAACAGCCCTCTGTGACAAGTGGGAGCAGAAGCAAACCAAGCTTCAAACCCAGTGCAAGAAGTGGCTATGATTGAAGTCAGAAGTCCCTCAAGCTGGTTGCAGATAGATGCCAAATGTGTTCCTAGCATCTCTGTCTAACTTGGAATGAGAGAATACCTTGGTGTTGACACATTATCAATGACTGTACCAGTTATTAGTCCAGGGGTAATATATTGGAGAAAACTTACACAGGGAGTTCTGGAATCAGGAAAAAGTTTTTCTTAAATTTTTATAGAAAATAAGGATGTATTTTTGAAGAAAATCATATTCATACTCTGCTCTCATCAAGAATTAATTCTGAAATGTGGTCTTTAGCCTCACACTTCACACTGATGTGCTTCAGCACCATGATGTTATGGGAGAGAAAAGGGACAGGGAAGGTAGTAATGGAGACTCAGAAAGGACCTCTTGGTGGGAGGAGGGAATATTTATATAATTACATAAAGATATTTATATATATATTTCTATATATGAATACAATTTTATATAAAAATATAAATGGGATATTATATTAAAATATACTGATATCCTAAGGTTTGTGCTTAATTTGGTTTTGTTAGTTTGGCTTTTAATTAAAAAATAAGCCCAAGCATGATAAAGTGCTAAACTGCAATGTGTACATTGGTGTTGAGAAGGAAATGCAATCACAAGATGCTGTCTGTTGATGAAGGAAGAAAGACTTTGCTTTCTGTGCATGATAGTTTATCTGAACATCTCTTCTGGGGATGAAACATGTGAGGAGACAAGCATTATTATTTCATGGTTCATTGACTCATTCAATAATGATTCTGTTTCACGAGAGATTCTGTACTTCAGTTACAACTGAAAACACTAATTCAAGATAGCAGTAGTTTCCCCGTTTGCTTCCATTAACAATTTATTAGGTATTACCAAATTTTATGTTTTTTCATGTATTATAATTAATCTCACCACACGATCTTGCCTCAAAAGTAGTTTTGTTCTCCTACACTGCAGTCCTTCATCTCATGTTTGTTTGCACAGGACTGGTTCTAATCTGGGCTGTTTGCTGTATAACC